TCCCAATATACTTCCAACAAATCAGGTTCATCATCCCTGGATCTATCATGTAGGAAACTCCAGCTGCGGCGTCGACTTGAAGTCTAGAGATGGTGCTGGTTGTAGGCTCGAGTCTGACGTGCAGATAATTGGTACCCCCGGCAATTGGTAAGGTTTCTACGCGTACTATTCTCTGCATAACCATTGATTCCGAGGCATCGTTCGTCACTGATTCGGTTACTTCCTTAGCAGGCTTTAACTGATACGTTGAGACACGACCAGTGGTTTGTCGTGGTCGAAGTCCTTTAGCTTGGAGTGTGGTCAACAGGCATTAAGGGAGAGTCTAATTCATGCTTTTCGTTTCTCATTCTGCAGTTGATAAAAAATGAGCGTTGAACGCAGCAAACCGTATGTGTGTGCGAGCTTTAGTTTGTGCGTGAAGCAGTTTCTATGATATAAAAATGAACATTTCCTTACAAACGGTGCAAATATATCTTTTAGAAAATTGTATGTAAAGATTTGTTATTCGCGTTAAACTGGACAACAGTAAGTCTTGCGGCGCTTGATGGCACCCTAAATACGAGTAATAGGCGCTGGAAAAGCCGAAGATACATTACAAAGCAATTTTTTAACCTCAACTACTTTTTGGACCTGTTTCAGTTACTTGTCTCTCCTGAACAATCGAAATTTCCAGTTAACGCCATCTTGAAAAATTATCTTCTACTTCCATTTATGAGCTACAACATCGAGAACATATTATTCAGTTCGTAAAGCCCATTATATGTTTAATTTACTGTTTAAATTATATATTGTAAAAAATTATAGGAAATTTGTGGAGAGGAAGCGAAATATGATAAAACATTATCGAAATCAAAAAAAAAATTTTTAGGGTAGCAAGATATTTGCACTACAAATTGAATGATATGCCTCTCGATGTTGTAGCTCGTAAATGGAAAGAGGAGATAAAGTCGCCCTTTTTAATTTTCTTTACATATCACATTTTTCTTCAGCATCTCAAACAATTATAGGAAATTTGGGGAGAGGAAGCGAAATATATGGTAAAACATTATCTAAATCACAAAAAAAATTTCTAGGGTAGCAAGATATTTGCACTACAAATTGAATGATATGCCTCTCGATGTTGTAGCTCGTAAATGGAAAGAGGAAATAAAGTTGCCCTTTTTTAATTTTCTTTACATATCACATTTTTCTTCATTATCTCAAACAATTTGAGCAAACAAAATGTTTAGGTATTTGATTTTTACATACGTGTATGAAGTTTCAGAACGATCGGTCAATTAATAAAGAAGGATTTGGGGGGTAAGACATCCCCTCTAACGGATTAGTTGAGACGTGGATTTAGATTCGTCACCTGACATTGTTAGTGCATTTGAAGCAGCCGTAGTTCGTCTTCGCAGGAACAAATTGTACTCTTAAGTCTACACGCTGATGGTTGCTCATGCATCATCATCGTTTACTCGAGCACTTCTTATTTATCACCACGGGAACAATCCAATCACTTGCTACCACTTGCCGCAATCGCAAATCCCGATCTCACTCACCGTCACACAGCTACTCTTTCGACCCACCAATTTTTAAATTAATCTCAAAGTTGGCAACCTCTTTCTTTAAAATAGATTCAGAATATTTTCCTCTTTAATCTGAGAACACGGACCAATATCTGCCATACTTAGCGAGAAACCCGCTATGGGCCCGTGACCCGCAGTGGGCTCGCTGCCCCATGTTACCCTATAGTTTGACAGTCGGAGATTGTCGCTATCAATACGCTTCAAATCATTCATTCGGAGTTAAAAGCGTACTAATGATTATAGATAATTATGCCTTATTTTTACTTCTCTCCATCCTAAAATTGCACTTTTTCAGCATGCGTAAAAATTATTTTGAAGATTATTTCTCCGCATCAGTGGCGCATGTGCCTCAATATTTACTCATTGCTTTCAGTTCAAACAGTAATTTTATTCATCAACTGTGTCCTGCAGTTCGCTGGCGAGCCGAAACGAGACAATGGACCCTCGTGACCTGAAGGTTCAGCTCACTCCTGATCCGCGTAACGACAAATCCGTAAGCTTTTATTCTCATTTCATGACTTATCTTCTTAAAATGATGATTGTTAGTCGTCGTTACCGTTTTTCTGTGAATTTTATAAAAACATTTTCTTATTCGTGACTTTTCTTTGAATTTCATGTTGACACTTGTGCTCTCGTTTACGGTACTGTGCCTTCTCGTCAGGGTTGCAAAAACCCAAGATATTTTTAAACTGCTGAACCTACCCAGGTTTTAATAAAAAACCCGGGCAAAATGGGTAAAATGTTTTTTTTCTCACTTATTTTATTTATACCTAGTTAAAGGTTCTTTTCAATTATTTTGATTATTACAAATTCCATGCTAGAGAGTATCAAGTATCAACCTTTATTACATTTACCATAGCTTTTAATCACATAATTGTAAATTTTTATTAAACAATGAGCTAGTGATGCATTATTAACTTGCATCACTATTTAACAGTGTTTTATCACAACAGTGACCCATCTGTGTTAGACTACAAATCAATGCAAGTAATATGTATTAAACCAATTAACTCAGTTCTACAGTTTTCTTGTTTTTCAAAACTCATATTTTTCAAGCATTAAAAAAACATTTTCATTTATTATACCGTAAATTTTGAAAAATTGGACTAAGCACCTAAAATTTGTGCCAAACCTTGCGGCTTCTACTATGGCTCAGTAATAATCAATCTTGACCATTGCTACTAATAACGAGGGATGCTAACTAGAAACCTAAATTATGCAAAATTAAAATAAAAACACATGTTTATAGCTGTACAGAATAAACCCACTAGAAAAAGTGCATATATTTACAAAAACAATACATACCTTGACTGTTTTATCTTATTTTTTCATTACCAGTATTTTTTCTGAAGAATTTCAAGATATGAATTTATTTCACAAGCCAAATTATCAAATGGATATATGTATAAATGACAAAACCGACAAGAAGTCTATTGACCAGCTTCACACATTTCGCACACTTGACTCTGGGCATGTAGCAATTATTTTTTGATTTATGGCTGATTATGTAGCAATTAAAACTTGATTTATGGACTTAAAAATAGTATCAAATATGAAGTTATAGTCTCAAAAGGCATAGTGTATGTAAATATCATTGAGAAAATAATTGTTTTTAGGACTAATGTTTGTGTATTTCTGCTACATAGTGAGAAACTACACTATTTACATTAAATTAACACCAATGCTGAAGTTTATATAAAACCTATAGTTCAGGTAGGGCTAATATAAAATAGTTCCAAAAACCTCTATGAACATTAGCTATGATGTGACAAAAGTTGCTAACAATTTAGACAAAATCACATAATGGGCTTTGTTATGAAGGAGATTTCTGGTGGTCACTTTTTGATATCATATTGTGATAGGTTTGAATGACTGTAGAGCAAGTTAGCGGACCTAGTATCATTAATAAAACTTTATAATGCTTGGGATTTTCTAGGACTCAAATAAATGTAGGCTTTCGATAGCGGCTTGCAGTATACATATGAAATGACTGTTGCTGTTTTTGTTCAAGAAAACTTAATAGGTATTTACTTCGTAGCTTCTATCCATTATTATCGTTTTGAAGTTCGAAACCATAAATCAATTAGATGCATTCTTAATTTTTATTTAAAATCCACCTTTCACTTTACGGTTTTCCTTATAAAAACCCCGGTTTTTCGTTGAAACTCGGGTTTTTCGCTGAAACCCACCCCGGCCCAGCCCGGGTGGGAAGGTGGGCAGCTTCCCAGGCAGGTGCTCAGTACAACTCTGGTTCTCGTAGCATCACACGGTAACGCAGATGAGAAGCACTAACCAAAACTTGATATCTGTGCCCATAAATAGGTGACGAAAATAATACTTCATCCTGACTACGAGCCCGGCCGTATTCCGCTCAATGACCTCGCTCTCGTGATGCTGGAGGAACCGTTGATCTTCAGCGAGACAATGTATCCCGCTTGCATAAACCTCAATGGGGAAGGCTTCCTTAGCAACTCCACAGCCCTGGTTTGTACAGCTCATTGGTCGTGCCATTAACAGCAAAGACTCTGAGAAAAACTTTGTTATCAATCATGTAATAAGGAATTTAAAAAAGAACATGGCACAGAATTTCACCATATCTTTATGATGGAAAACGTTTCGGAGTCCATCTTCATCGTCAGTTCGACAATTTAGAGAGTAAATACAATTATTGTTTAATCCAAAATTCAAAGTCAGACATTAAAACCTAAAATTTACAAATAAAAGAGAAATCAACTAAAATAACACTGCAAAACGGCCTTGTTACTGGGTTGTTAACAGAGGATCTATTAACATCCTCAATTAGAGTGTGGAACTTAAACTGGGCTTCTGTTTAAAAATATTCTATTCGATGATATGTCCCTAGCTTAAATGCCGCACTCATTTCCCATCCCCTTGAGAATGTTAACAGATAGGCCAGTCTTACTGTGTTATTGTAGGTTGATTCATCTTTTATTTATGAACTTAAAGTTTTAATGTCTGAATTTGAATTTTGGATTATAAAATGATCGTTTTTCTTTCTAGATTGTCGTTCTTCTTTACAAAGAAATTGAGAATTTCTGTACCATCTTGTTTCATTTTAAATTCCTTCTTAATTTGCGATTTAAGCAATCAAGTGATTTTAGTACTTAAAATGATCACGTACTGTTCTTTTGAAGTGTTTTTTTAGATCCGATTGAACATTTCACATGTGTTTAGATTTGATTTTTGAGCATCAAACTTTTTGTTGAAATAAAATGGTTTGGAGTCTTTTTGGTGTAGTGTTGAAGCTATCCATTATGGCGTTAGTTCCTGTATAGAGCTCACTTGCATCAAAATGAGCATTGTCACGATAGTGAAAACGGTTTTTTCTAGTTTCTCACTGGTACAGTTATGATACTGTTTCACAAATTCTTGTTGATGAACATAAAACTCACGATGAGCCTTGCCGAGCAGGCGTTCAGCCGCGCCAACGAGTCAAGGTACGAGTACGATGAGGTGCTGCAGGAGCTGGACCCGGACTGCCATGGTCCCGCCCCGCGGTGCCGGTCCTGGCGCATCGAGGACACGCAGTTCTGTGGCCTCGCTCTTGGTGAGAGGTTTTATGAAGACTTGATATTTTTGGCTCGCCTCATCTGGAGCAGTTAAGCGAGATCTTATGAGGAGAAAGTGGGGTACATTGGGACAGGTCAATTATTTAGTATATTCAAAAACTATATTGAAACAAGAATTTAAGCTAATAATAGCACACAAATTAATGCATTGAGTGACGTAGCAGAGAGGCGTGTTGCTCTGTCCTGAATTCCTCAGTCAGCAACATTTTGTTTCAAGATAAGTCAACTGAGGATTTTTCCTCATGTGTGAAAAGTAATGAGTAATGAGGGCCTATTTCGCTAACTAAAGCTAGATATTTCGTGATTTATTGTTGCCTAAGACGTTCAAAATTAATTACATCAGATAGATATTAACTTCGTTCATTTATATTAAAATGGTGTTTAGAGGTACAAAAAGGGACAGGCTGTTTGGGGCACGCTGACAGTGCCCGTCAGTGTTTGGGAATCTCCGCATATTTTTAAACGCAAACCTTGTCATATTAAAGCGTAGTTATTATCCTTTTGAAAGGATGGGGAGTACTCCCTTGTGGTATTCACTTGATGTATCTCTAAAAGTACTCCCATAAGTTACTCGCTTTTGGTACCCACATGAGATATAAGTTTGAAGTGCTCAACTGAGGTATTCGCTTATGGTACTAACGTGATGTATTCAATCATTTTGGAGAGGATTGTTGGAATCGGAATAATTGCATTGGAACAGCTTTATTCTTCCCGTGTGCCTCTCTCTTCCCTCTTTGTAGCTTCTACCTAGTCATACACCTCAGTACATAATCAAATAACAATGAGAGTTGTTTTTTATTATTATATTTTGAAATTGTTCATTACCTATCAATATTCGTTATTTGACTTCTTACTATTATTCGTTTCGGATGTCCAATCAGAAGAAAACAAGAAGCTGGTTGGGGGTTCGTCAGGAGGGCCGTACATGCAGAACCATGGTCCGGACGCCGAAGAGAGCTGGGCTGTGTCCGGCGTGATGTCCGCCTCCGTGGACAGAACGGGCTGTGATCAGCCAGTGACCATTTACACTGCTGTCCATCATTTCAAAGAGTGGATAGAAAGCGTGGTTGAGGGTGGTCAATAATGGTCGAATAGCAAAGTCTGACTCGTTGCCTGTTTCCCACATGGCGGACCGTGATTACCTACTGGAATTGGCAGGGCACGTTGCCTTAAAACCTCAAAAACAATTTTTTCTAACTCAGGAAACGGTTACTACGTGGATGAACAATATGCGCAACCAATCCAGATTAACTGAATGATCCACTTCAGTTACCCACTTGAAGAATTATATTTTAGGATTAGGTTACTATATTGTCAACTGATATTAGAAGAACTAATACTAGTCTTCTACTTCCGAGCGACGCACCGTCCTCAAGAAAGCCATCAGAAGAAAGAAGTGCGAAGATCTGGCAACCAAGCGCCGAACTTCTTAGGACGCCAGAGGATAGAATTAAGTTACTCATTAGGTTTTGAGTTTCTAGTTCTTAAAGTTTTACTTTGTGCCCGTTGGCCCCTGTTAGCTGATTACGATTTTGATTCACCTAGTTAATTAACTGAGGTTTCGCTTTGTGCCCTTTGGCGCCTGTAAGCTGATTATGATATTGGTTTGCTTAGTTAATTAACTAGTGCTCTAGTAACGTTGAGCTTAGCTTCCACACTGCTATTAATAGTCAATGTTATTATTTACTTCTCTTACATTATTTTACTAGTGTAAAGAGTCATTGCTCTATAGCACGTTCACTGTAACGTAATCGTACTTGCTTCCAAATTTTTATCGAATACCATTCATATTTTTGCGAAGTGGACGTGTCAGGTAGTATTGTAACATTAAGCTATACGTCACCACCTTTACCTTCTGTAGCATTACTCACGTCAGCTTCCGTGACGTCATTGTAGTGAATCTATACAAGCTCCTCAAGCATCCCATGAGTCAGTCGCATACGCATCCACTTACGTTCTGACGGCTCCGACACTCGCTTGCCTCACTCCCGAACTTGTCGATTTAGCTACCTGATTTATTAGTGTACTAACACCTCATCGTGATTTATCTTGAATAATTACGGGTTTAGAGTTGCCACTCCATCATTTCTTTCATCCCTCCTTATTATATCATTGGGATAATTATTTGAACCGAAATTAACTCAGACCTTTTAGTAATCAAAACTGGTCCCAAGTGTCAGTGAAAAGACACCCGGACAATACTATAAAATATAGTAAGCATAATTGTCCTAATATTAGCACGGACCTAGTCTCGTATAAAATCAAGTGTTACCAGTTTGTTTGATTCATTTATAGGAGTGTCGTTGATTATGTAACCTGGTCTCCGAACATTGATTCACTAAACAGTGAGAGCAGTTCCAGTTTCACTCTCCGATATTTAACACGGTCATTAGACGCTAGCCCAGCTTGGTCACACGACTCACACGGTCTGACCCACTGGGCAATTGGTATTAACTAAGCGTTCAGCAAGAGTTAACCCTAAACGGTATGTTTAGCCTCAATTTCAGTTTGGTGATAATTTCATTTGCGTACGTTAGTTTCTCAATGTAGAATAGAAGAAATAACATATGTAACCTAAAAAACATTATATTTTTCAATGATATTCACATACAATTTATGAGATTATAACTTCATGTTTAATATTATTTTTTGTGTTAACTCAAAAGTCCATAAAAGAAAATCACATAACAAATTAGTCTTTATTCGTTAAAATCCTTCAGTCAAGCGTGTGAAATGCAAGCACAAAAGTCCGTAGATAATACACTGCTATATTCTTTATATATATCAGGATATCACAGGATATTAGCCCAGACTTGTAAGATCAATTGCGAGCTGAAGCTACCAAAGAACGAGGCTCATCGACCACAGCGGTCTTAACTCCTGTTCTACGTCAAGCAGCTAAACAACGCAGAGACAAATTGAGATACGGAAAGCTGATAAAAGCAATACTTTCGCTATCATGGATAAAACGGATTATCTCTCAAAAATTAACGCAGTTTTATCAGACGAGTCCAAATTCAGTTGTGTCGCAGGAGATCCAACAGAACAACATCAGAGAAGAGCAAATAAATTAACCAACACAGCGAACTCATCAATAGGATCTAAATAACTTGCCCCGATTGTTGGGAGCTATTGTCCGGGCTACCTCTATGGAAACATTAAAACTCACAAAGGAAACAACCCTCTATAAGACCTATAATACAAGTTATTTCTCCAGTATACAGGACTTCTAAAGAACTGGACTCTATAATTAAACCATATATTCCACAGAAATACTCTCTGAAATCTAGAACTGACTTCTTGGAAATTCTTCATGCCTCGCACCCTTCTGGTCTACTAGCTCCACTGGATGTTACTAGTTTGTTCACTAATGTTCCAACCGAAGAAACATTAGAAATAATCGTGAAGCATGCATGTAAATTCGCACGAAGCCCTGTCAGCCCCCTCTTATAAAAAATATATTAATTGACCTTCTTCGCCTCTTTACTTCAGAATCTCCCTTCCGGACTCCTGATAGCAAAATTTACCGGCAAATTAACGGCGTTGCCATGGGCTGCTCTCTGGGCCCAACTTTTGCAGAATTCTACACGGGTGAACGAGAAAATCGAGTGTAACTCAATGCACAGATCAAGCCTAAGCTTTACTGTTAAACGTTAGCGGCTACGTATACTTAGCATGTTTTGATAATCCGGCCCCAGGACTGGAAGCTAAAACTTTGAAGTCACTGTCAGAAACTGGAACATCGCACTGCTCGGCGTGAGCCCGCACAGCCGAATGAGGGGGGCGCGACAGTAAATTACAAGTTCTACAAGTCCTGCTTCTATGTTCTGCGACCCTAGAGTAAAGATTGCGAGACGTCATCCCGACGTATGCAGATGCACATCGTGCACAACTGTATTTATACACTAGGGACGCTCGCATATGCATAGGCAGGGTATCTTTGTGCTTAAAAAGAACCGATTTTAAAATGGTTGACCAATATAACACGAAAATTAGCATTATTTGCGAAATACTTAGAAAAAAAAGTTTTAGCTGACGGATGTAGGGCCGAAATATGGGAGAGAGCAATAATTAAACAACATCCCTACTGTCGCGCTCAAGAGCAACCTCATTGTACCGCTTGGATACGAATTTCTTCATTTGGGGAACACCAGATTAGTCGGAAATCCATTAGGCGAAAAGATATTACGTAAAAATTCGAATTCAGCGTGCAGAATATTGTAAGTAGAACAAATACGAAAGCCCCGAAGTAAAAGTGTTTGAATCCCATTAATCTTAAATCGGAACGAGCAAAAGCTAAAAAAAGCTGGTACTGAGACCTGCGAAAGTCGATTTTTGGAATACAGAAGTTTGAAAACGGCCATTGGATTTAGTAATATTGCAATCGAGGAAAGACAGGCTATTGTTAGATTCCAGTTCCATAGTAAAGTTGACGGGTTTATGTTGCGAATTAAGGTAATCGAAAAAGAGTTTAACGTGAGAAGGATGCTTAAGAAGTAAAAAGTGACATCAACGTATCTATTGTAGAATATTGGCTTAAAATCAAGAGGGCAACTTAACAGCCAGGAAACTTCGTGAAAACACATAAAAATATTCGCAAAGGTTGGGCCGAGCGGAAGACCCATGCCCAAACCGCTACTCTGTCGGTAAAACGTGTTAGCAAACATGAAAAAAGAGTACAAAGCGGATAATTCCATAAGAGATTTAAAAAAATTACGTTCCAAACCTCACGCATAACAAACTCCTCATCAAGGAATTATCCTCCAAGAGGAATACTTTGAAGATTTTAACTGGTTCGGTCGCTGAGAGTGAAGCATGCGTTTGTCGTTCGTTTTCAACCCTCGGTGCCTTTGCAGTTCACCGGCATTCCAGGCAGTCTGCGGAAGCTTTCAAGTAAGTCACTAGTCAGACTCATCAAAAGAAACTTCACAACCTCGGAATTCACGACGAAATTCATCCTGTCAACCTGATAAGGTCGTTTTAACTATAGTTCCTTCAGCCTTGAACCCCGCACCAAATTTTTGTTAGCTTTTGGCCTTGATTTTTGTCTGCCCATTTTTAAGCTAGACTATTATACATTTTTTTAGCCTTTGTAAGACTTGCTTTGAGCATAAAGAATGTTTCAGTCCCCAACCGACCTGAATTTCTCGGGACCTCCTAAGCTTAGCCTACCGTCATTTTTATGGTTTCAAGTCATATAAAAATTTTTTCTGTATTCAAACCCCTTGTCACTCTTTTATTGAAAAATTTGGCCAAAGATAGAGACCTGATCGTTTTTAGACCTGATAAAGGCATGCATCACTCAGAGAAAATTTAGCCTCCATATGTGAATCAGCCGCAAAAGGGCGTCGTATTGACCCACTTTCTAAAGTTCTTGCAGCTGCAGCTGCGGCAAAGCAACAAGTGAGTCAAAGATATTCACCGTTTGACTCAGTTGGCTTTAAGCCTCGATTCCTTCCCTATCGAAATTCGAAGACCTGTCAGCCGCTGGCACACTGACGCCCAAAGTTCTTATGGCAGTGCAAATTAGAAGCTCTATGTCCGCTTTAGGTTCCGGTTGCCGGAGCGAAATAAGCGCCGAAATAGAATCTTATGAAATTCCTTTCGAGCTTGGGGCGATCGTGGGGCGCGCGTATTTGGTACCTGATACGTTCGGGACAGACACGGCCGAATATGAAAAATGCTTTAAAAAATGCCCCCTCCCTTCCCACCCCTTATGGGGGGGAAGGGAGGGGGCATTTGAATCTCTTAACGTTATATATATATGCAGTCTATATTGCACTACTCGCTCAGTTTTAAGATCAGAGCAGTCTACCAGAGGCTCAATTTCATGCAAAGACGTTTACAGCTAGTAACTTTTATGACATGGCGTGGTTAGAAATGAGGGCAATAATCGCAAATAAAAAANCTTGTACGCGATAGTTCACACCGACACGACAGCTGAGGCAGCGAGAACGGTGTTGTACCGCACTGGACCAGTCTTCAGAGGTGGTCGGAAATTACGACAAACGTTCGTATGCAATCTTCATAAATTAAGCTGTTGGCCGTAGGGATGCTTAGAAATTTTAATTTAAAGCATATCTGCATGAGCTACATCTTTAGCCGCTCAAACAGACATATACTCAGAGATGAACATTTCTATTGTAGCCATAGCCATCACTATTTTGTGGGTTTGAAGAACAGTAATCTCCAAACAATTCGAAATCAAGGACTTCCACAATTAAGCACTCAAAATATTCTTTTTATTCCTGTTCAATGTCTACAAGTGCAATGGTATTTACCATCAAATTGTGTAAAGCTCTCTGAAGGAGACAAAACTATAATACCTTTTCGATAAGCATTGAGCAATGCGTACTCTTCACTACGTACTGATTCACGGTTTGTTCTAAACTGGCGCCTTCCTATTGCTGCATGGCTAATGCTCTGTCCGGATGGGGGTGCGGGAGGTAGACCCCCACATACCCCCCGCATAGCGGGAACTTCGATGGTTCGTGCGTTTACCCTGTTCAGCCCCATCATGCGGTAGCGTCATCAGCGTTTGACCAGGGGCACATGACGAAGCTTGACCAGCTGCTCTTTTTAATCATATTACGCAGATTTGTCCTACCGGACAATTGCCTTCCAAAAGAGGCTGGTAAATAGAAGCAAAACAACCTACGTGGCCGACTTGCGCCTGATTCACCCCCAAGCCGAATATAGTTCCTCTGAAACGACCTTAATAGACACGAAAATTTTGACAGGGTTGAACTTGGAAGGATTGAAAGGCGAAGCATTGCTTTATTCTTGTTTGACTTTGATGAGCAAAGAGATCCCAGTAGTACCACAATCGCAATCAAACGAACACAATCAAGCAAACCCAACTTTTTGTCCATGCCAAGGGCAAAATTATGTAAAAAAAAGGGCCTCGTCATTTCCATTGTTGTGTGATTCCCAGTCCAGTTGCCAGATGTAGAACTGAACCAGGTAGAACTGAAAAAAACGTTTAATGGCACACCCATATTCTCCTGGTATTAGAAGAAGTTACGTATTTAACCTCAAAAATCAATCATTGGCAGCGTGCAAGTTACATAAAAAGTGTTATTTAGAATGAATAAAAATTGCCATGGTACTTGATATTGGCTAGTTGCAACCAAACGTGCGCGGCAGGCGCCATATTTCTCATGTGTTGGTGGCTTGTCTTTTTCGATTGGAGAAACCTCATTATTCGTCGCTGTTTAAAACTACGCCGAAAAAAATATTATACTCTCAGTAAGATGGAATTTTATATTACGGATGGCTGAGGACACTTTAGTTGTCAACTTGCTATTTGCATCACAGTTGAGACTGTTTAGTTGACCAAACGTCAGTGTCCGGC